CCAGGCTCACCTTCCTCGGAGAAGTAGGAGCGGAGCAGGTGGTTCTGGGCATCCTTGGACAGGGACTGGATGTTGATGGCRGCCGCRTCGGTGATGGAGCCRCCAAAACCCTTCACCTTCTGATACCGCTGCGCCGTGTCCAGGGTGAGGTGGAAATCTGTGGGGACAGCYGGTGTCATTGTCACCGCCGTGTGGGACACGCTGTGCCACAGCAGGTACTGGCTGCGGCCGTACCTGGGGCCTTGGCGTCGCKCTGGAAKCKCCCCTCGCTCCGCTCCAGCCGCTTGCCGGCCTTGCTGCTCTCGTATTTGACGTAGGAGCCGGGGGCTGGCAGGACCAGAGGGTCCAACGTGTCACAGTACGTGGCACTGCAGGCACACACCAACGAGCCGTGCCCAAAATCCTTGGCATCGCAGGGACGGGCACCTGTGGTAGAGGAGAGACTGGATGGGCACTGAGGGCCGTGCAGGAGCCCGGCTCATCCCTTTGAGCCACGACAAACCCCAAATTTGCCACCGTCTAAAGGCCAGGAGTGCGTGCCAGCTCATACCTGTGACCTGCAGGGCTGTCTGTGCCAGCAGGAGCCAGCCCAGGACGCTGGCACAGCCTGGCCCCATGGCACCTGTGCTGCAGCGGCTCGGACGATGCTGATGGACACACCGGAGCTGGGACAGGGCGAGGGGTCAGCACCCAGCTCTTGTCACCCTGACCCAGCCCTGTGTGGGCACGGAGAGCCCCAGCGTTGTCCCCGTGCCCAAGGACTTTGGGGAACACCAGACCCTCCGGCCAGGGCTGGGTGTGCCTTGCCCTCTGTCCACTGCTCCACCCAGTGCTCGCCTTCCCTCCCACGCCTGCAATGCCCACCGACAGCTCTGGCCGAGTCCCAGGTGTGTCCAGACCCCGAGGTGTGTGCAATCCACAGGTGAGCACAAGTGTCCAGTCCCCAGGTGTGTTCACAGCCCCCCCAGATGTGTGCGCAGCCCCCAGATGTGTCCAGCCCCCAGGTGTGTGCACAACCCCCCAGGTGAGTGCACAGCGCCCAGGTGTGTTCAGTCCCCAGGTGTATTCACAGCCCCCCAAGTGTGTCCAGTCCCCAGGTGTGCACAGCCCCAAAGGTGTGTCCACAGCCCCCCAGGTGTGTCCAGCCCCCCATGTGTGTCCAACCCCCCAGATGTGCACAGCCCCCAGGTGTGTTCAGCCCCCAGGTTTGTTCACAGCCCCCCAGGTGTGTCCAGTCTCCAGGTGTGTCCAGCCCCCAGGTGTGTCCAGGCCCCCAGATGTGATCACAGCTCCCCAGATGTGCAACCCCCCCCAGGTGTGTCCCGCCCCCCAGGTGTGTCCAGCCCCTAGGTGTGTGTCCAGCCCCCCACGTATGCACAGCCCCCCAGGTGTGTTCTCATCCCCCCAGGTGTGCCCAGACCCAGATGTTTGCAGCCCCCAGATGTTCACAGCCCCCCAGATGTGCAACTCCCCAAGGTGCGTGTGTGCAGCGCCCAGGTGTGTCCAGCCCCCCAAGTGTGTCCAGCCCCCAGGTGTGTCCAGCCCCCAGATGTGTCCAGCCCCCCAGATGTGTCCAGCCCCCAGGTGTGTCCAGCCCCCCAGGAGTGCACAGCCCCCAGTGTGTGCAATCCCCAGGTGTGTTCATAGTCCCCAGGTGTGTTCACAGCCCCCAGATGTTCACAGCCCTCAAGTGTGTCCAGCCCCCCAGGTATGACCCACCCCCAGCCCGCTGCTCCCAGCTGCCCACGCCAGCTGTACCGGCAGCTTGGTTCACTCCCATCGGCTCCCTCCCACTCCTTGTCCCTCCCCACTCATCCCGCAGCCGTGCCGTGCCGTGCCATGCCGTGCCGTGCCATGTCACCCCATGCCATGTCACACCGTGCCGTGTAACCCCATGCCGTGCCGTGCCATGTCACCCCATGCCATGTCACACTGTGCCATGTCACATCACATCATGTCACTTCATGCTATGCCATGCCACACCGTGCCATGCCACCCCGTGCCATATCACACCATGCTGTGCCACCCCATGCCATATCACACCGTGCCATGTTACCCCATGCCATGTCACCTCATGCCATGTCACACCATGCCATGTCACCCCATGCCATGCCACACCGTGCCATGTCACACCGTGCCATATTACCCCATGCCATGTCACCTCATGCCATGTCACACCAACGCCATGCCATCCCATGCCATGTCACCCCATGCCGTGCCACCCCTGCCATGTCACACCATGCCATGTGTGTCACACTGTGCCGTGCCGTGTCACACTGTGCCATATTACCCCATGCCATGTCACACCATGCCATGCCACACCGTGCCGTGTCACCCCACGTATTCCCAGTGCCTCCCGAGCCACTGGGGAGCACTGGCCAGCATCAAACAGCTCCACGCTGCCGATCCCACACCCCTCCAGCTCGGGCTTGTCCAGCCAGAGCCGTTTGGAGCCCCAGCCCCCGGCACGGAGGGTCCCACTTTGCCCTGCTCCCTGCAGGTGCTCACACCCTGTCCCGTCCTTCCCCTTCTGCTGGTCAGCCAGGGCACAGGAGGAGCCACCTCCAAGCCTCGGGACCCTGGTGCCAGYCTGAGGACACCTTGGCACCCACCGGGGTGGGATGGGACCCTCTGGTTGCTCCCCAAATCCTGTGGGATGCGGAGTGAAGACAGGCAGCTGTCCC